CCTTCTGCCAACACACATCTGATATCTATGATCGATCTGCGAAATTTGGGCTACCGATATCCATGCTGAAAATTACACACTTGTACTAAGAATACGGTGTGGAATCAAGCTGTAATAAAAAAAAGAATGAGGCGATATTATTTACTGGATAATGTTCTGAATATAGATGACTACTTATTAGCACTATTACTGTAGTACTTTCGTCTCTCACAATTAATTGTCAGCAGAAATTCTTAGAGTTAAGCACTGAATCATGTTCTCTTGCATATAGCTGATACTGATTCTTTGAACAAGAATTGAGTTGTCAATCTTTCTCGACACCTTACTATGTTAGCATTCAGAACTGATGACACACTGATTTAGAAAAGGATCCTTCAGGCAGTACAGCAGTTATCGACGGTAACACATCTCAAATCAGTATAACGAAGGGAAAAGTGAATCTTTAATCAAATGACTCGAGGTTTACTGAAAGGAGGTTGTATAAAGAAGGGCTAAATTTCAATATTAAATGTTAAACCCACAAACAAGGTCATGGAATTAAGTTTATAGTTGGGTGAGTGAGATATACACCAACAACATAAGACATATGCACACACTTAGCTAGGATTTCATGATCAATTAAAATAAGGTTAGAGTGTAAAATAATCTATGCATTTGATATAAAACAGACTAATTAGCATATAACTAGAGATGAAAGAAAAAAAGGATCGGTTCCCAGTGGCTTGATGGTCTACGAGCTCGCCTTGTAACCAGAAGGTCTTGGGTCAGAACCCCTGTGGCGGGTGTGTGCTGCTGAAGAGTCCAAAAACTAGGATGAAACAGCTGTCCAGTACTCCCAGGTTTTCCAGTGGTTCTCTAACTGATGTCAGCTCATGATGAAACCCTCCATTCCATCAAACAAAAAAATCCCTACAAAACCAATACTTAAAAAAGGGATCACCTTAGCAATAAAAAAATCTATAAATCAGCTTACCAAATAGGATAGCGCTTGAAGCATTAAAAAATGAGCTTGTCCCTGATCATGAACATAATTGACATAGAAATGAATAAAATTATACCGGGAGTACGGTTAAGTCTGAAATCTACTGTTTTTAAATCCCAAGATAGCATATATATCGACACAGTTGAAGTAGCAATATGATCCCAGATAAAATGTGGAAACAGGCATATTGACAAATATTTAGGAAAGCTTTACATACGTTTTATTCTGCTCCAAAAGTATGGTAGACATAAATATACATATATGTAAATTAAAAATGGATTAAAAACAAATGACAACTGATCCTGTTACACAAGAGGTAGTTCTCATAGGGCAAGTTGTCTTGTGGATACCTCTCTGGCATTTGAAACTATGTTTACTGGTTTCGAGTCTCACGGAAAATATCATCAATCAGCGGAGAATGTAGGTATTTTTTTTTATTACAGCTTGATTCCACACCGTATTTTTGGTACAAGTATGGAATTTTCAGCGTGGATATCGGTAGCCCAAATTTCGCAGGCCGACCATAGATATCAGGTGTGCGTCGGCGAGGGCTCGAACCCCGGACCATAAGCATGGTCAGCGAGAGTCCTAACCACTGTGCCACCGACGATTTTTAAACAGGACGAAATGCACATCCTGGATTCTACTGATAGTTACCACTTAAGAAATAACATGGCCTTCAATAATTAAATCATACTTGATGGGGACAGTTAAAGCAGCCATACAGTGAAAATGACAATTCTTTAGTTTCTTACTTTATAATTCGTTAAGTGTTATTTAAATCTCTGATTGTTCTCATATAGTTTAAAACCAAATATCCAGACTGCCAAACAAGCTGATGACACTCCTCACTTGTCTGTACATAATAAACGCACCAATAAATGAACCCATAATACGTGGTGAGTCAGTGTCACTTTTCGATAGCTGGGGCTTATATTATCAGTAGTCTGTGTGTCACCATCATACATGTTAAAAAATAGCTCACCTGTCACTGGTTTGAACATTACTGATATTTGGTACAGATTACTATACTAACATGTAGCGTATATGATCCTCGTCTCATTATTTTGTGAGGAAATCTCAAACTAATATTTTACCAATAACAGTGCCCAGTAGTCAATCAGGGAGTTATAAAGCATAATGGCTAAACTATTTTCCATAGATATTTAATAGGAAGTGTATTGAAGTTTCTAAAATATATGTCTTTAAAAAGTTATTCTTTACCTATCATATATGCTTCATTGTTAATTTGATGCTAATAAATAACAACTATTTGGCTACTTACTTATTTATAATTGACACTGGAAACGTGTATCGTATTTATCCGCAAACAAATTCCAGAAGGACGACAAAAGCTCCGCAACTGAACCAACCAGCTCAGAGAATACCATTAATTGCTAATTCCCTTTATATCCGACTCAGTGAATTCATCTAAAATGTATTTGTTTAATTAGATTTCATGCTTGATTGGGATTTTAATGAGCAAGCAGATAATAAAAATACTGAATCACATGTGAAACTCAGCTCATCTTAGTAAAATTAGTTCTCATTATTACTGTTGAATTTATTAAGCTGTAACAGACAAAATCTGAAAAAATTGTACATCATATCTTAGTGTGACAGATAACACTTATAAAATACTTCAAAAATTGTGATAACAACTTCTAAAAACGGTACATTTTTTATCTCCACAAATTATTTTAGAAGGTCTGAAGAAAGTGATATCAGTTTGGAATATATCTTGTAGGTATGCCTAAAAGAATTCAGAGGTTTTTTAAAATTTGTATGAGAAACAAATGTACTAAGGGGAATTCGTTAATTCAGGTCTGATCACTGACTTATATCAATCAGAAAATCATTGAAAACTAGCGAGAGCTAAACATCTAATTCGTCCTAGTTTAGGATTTTTCGAAAGTACGCACACACCAGGGTTTGTGTCCAGGATCTTCCAGTTACAAAGTGGGTTCATGAACCATTCAGCTATCAGGATCCGGAGAGTGTTGAGTTGACTCCCTATTATGTGCGTATCGCCGTAGAGTCCCTAATCAAGACGAAATAGCTGACTTGTATTCCTTGGTTTTCGATGATTTTCTAACTGACCACGATTCGTAACCGAACTTGAAACAAATCCTGTCCATACAAATTAAATCTTGGAATTCGTTATATTAATCAGTGGTTAGGACTCTCGCCGACCATGCACACGGTCCGAGCCCATGCCGACGCACACCTGATATCTATGGTCGACCTGCCAAATTTGTGCTACCGATATTCTTGCCGAAAATTCCGTACTTGTACCAAAAATACAGTGTGGAATCAAGCTGTAATCAAAAATAAAAAAAAATAAAATAAAACAAATTAATCCCTTAAAGAGCAGATCAACATCTCCATCAGTGTGTCTGTTTCCGTTGGGATTAGATTCAAATACACATTGGAAATACTCTGAAGAATTAATTTAAAGTAGTTTAAATAAGTTTGAAAGTAAACAAGATATTAACGGAAAATCGTATTAAGGTTTAATCACGAATTGACATCAGGTAGGGAATTACTGAAAACCTTCGAGTACTGGTTCTCTAATTGATGTTAGTTCATGATGTAACCTTAAGTCAATAAAACTGGTTTTGTCGTATACATTATATATATATATATATATATATATATATATATAGTGTTCGCACGACATTCGAAGCTAGAAAGGCTGTTCAGAATGCACGCGCTATGAGAAGATATGGCAAAGAAGTTCTAGGATATAGGTGAACTCTCCAGACTACCTTCTTTAGTGCCATCAGTCTACTTCGGTCACTCATAAGAGAACCAGTAGTACACTGAGAGAGTGGCTACCACATTATCACCAACAGCTTCATAAGCTTTTATGCAGTTGGAGCCAATCTCGCCTAGGATAATGACAGAGAAATTCAATTCAGAAATTTGGAAAGTTGCAGTTTTACGAACATCGCAAATCAGTAGTAGAAAGAATGCTTCTATGGACGACAGAAAAGTCATAGGTTTGTTTTCTACTATACTTTGGTATTCCCACGTCTTTCTACTGTTTGTATGTCATCCATAAGTATTGGGTTTATACTTTTATTTTATTTTAAAGTTTGTTTCATTCATTGAGATTCCGAGATACACACATACAATAATATCATAGATGCTTTAGTTATCGTAGACTGTTACCTCAGTGATTCTCAAGATTCAGTTGATGTTAGCTCAGTATTAATATAATTTAATAATTCAATTATAATTATAATTAATAATTTAATTAATTATAATTATAATTAATAATTTCTGTCTCAATATTGAAATGATAACTTCTATAGATACATGCTTAGAAAGGACTATGTCACAATTCGTAGAATGCTGAAGACTGTCAGTAGGGTGAGTGGTATCCCAGTGGACCACATAGTTAACATCGTTGTCGATAGGCACTTGACTTAGTGCAATAAATTTGCTAGAGGGAATTTGTCTGACCTGGAGCATCCACTTTACCCTCAGCTTTCACCTTGCATCTCCTCAGGTAGAACAAAAAGTAACTTCAGAAAACTGTGTGCTCGCACGTCTAAGTATAAGAAATCTATGATACCATACTTACACGTATTTTATGTGATGAAAATAGTGTAAGGTAAGAATTAGCTAACATTTTTTCATCTAGTAAATGAACAAAATCCTCCATCCATCCTTATATACCTTCAAGTTTTACTTTTGTTATTTCTATTATATCTATGGTCCTGTTGCTTCTTTGTTTGTTTTACTTTCATAATTGCAAACACCAACTTATCTCTATGACTGCTGTAATTTTTGTTTTTCCCCTCATCATATCATGTAAAGAGAACGTTATATTCAATAATTTTTAAACAAGCTAAGATTTTTATACCGCATCGACAATACTGTGTGAAATAAGCCCATGGCAATTTTCCCTTGTATTATCATTATTATTATTATTATAGCTGTTATCATTATTATTATTTCCATTTTATATGCTGCATGTTTTTTGACATTACCTCTATTGTAAATGTGGAAGAGTTTCTGTGTGATTAATGCTGAAAATTCCATTCGGTATCATAAGTACTGTTTTTGGAATAAAGTAAGTCATTATTATTATTTTTATTATTACTTTTCTAGGTGAACATTACAAAATGAATAAGCGTTATGTCACGATGTGAAAAAGAAAATTTATTCATTACTACCCACTTTCATGAAGAGTTGAATAATCATATATTTTATACACTGAATGGTCCATATACTGAGGCTATCGTAAAGTTTGCTGCACAACTCAATGGATTCAATAATACACTACAGCAATTCATGTTTTTGGGTGGCGATCGTTTCAATGAACAAACAGGAATAATTGCATCCAGCTTATTGGAGAGGATATGCGGGCCATATCCTAGCTATCTATCACCATTTGCGGATACATTTGAAGATATTGTCCACAGTTATATCTTACCTGTATTAATGGTTTTCGTAATAATTACAAATTTCTTTGTTTGTCTCGTGTTAAGCCGACCACAAATGAGATCACCTGTCTTTCTACTGCTGTTGATTATTGGTATTGTAGAGTTGACAAACAGTTTTTTGCCTTTACCAATGTATTCTGCTCAGAGTTTATACAGACGAACTGCATGGTGGACTAATTTACCAATAAATAATTTCACTGTTGCTGAAAATGCATTGAAGGATACAAATTGGCAACTAGCTCCAAGAATGTATTATCAAACAAGCGATAGTATACTTGCAAGTGAAGCTTCAGCATGGTCAACTGTATTTCTTCCAACTATAACGCATACAATATCTGTATGGTTAACTGTTACTCTGGCTTTAAAGCGTGTCATTTATTTATTTATTCATGATTTAGCATTGAAACTTTGTACTTTGACTTCGACAGGAATGACGTTTTTAGTAGTCACCTGTTTTGCATGTGTTTTACATTGGCCTTTATTAAGTTCAAGATTTATCTTATTTCGACCAATCCAGCTGAGGTCATCATTTCACCTTCGTAACTCTAGTAGGATACATTTGAATAATTACGCGACTGAAATGCAAATTCCTACACGTTGTCTATCTGATGTGTTAAAATATATACCTGGTATTGTAATGAAATGCCATTTGACGCAACCATTTTACATGTTATTATATTTTTACACAAGAATTGTACTCATCCATATACTACCATGTGGATTACTTATCATACTGACAATTATTCTTCTCATGAAAATGCGCAGTATAATGAAGTTGAGAACACGTCTTGGTTTGATCCACAAAAAATATCCTTCGAATACTGACCGTGCTAAGCCTGTAACCTTTTGTTGTTTATCTGAACCACGTCGTCTATCGAAAGATTTTACCAACCAAGTGGGTGGTAGTCTCACAGCTAAAAATGTTAACAACACTGAAAGCATACAGATATCTGGTCACAAAACATCAGCTGTCAATCCACAAGCTATATCTCGTATGCTTGTTGTTGTTTTAGTCAAATTCATAGCCATGCACTTGCCAAACGCTTTTCTTCTAACAATTTATGTTGTTAAAAGCATGTACAAAGTGGATCATGCGGTACAAAACAGCACAAATATAACAAGAACAACAACGGAAATGGCATCAACCGAACTGCTGACAGAAGTTGAGAGTGGATTCTTCACTCCTTCGTTAGTTCATAATTACACAGTTAACGCCTCTAACTATGTCGAATATGCATCGAATAGTCTGGAAAGTAGTAGCAGGACATCGAATTCACTGTCTGAGAATAATGATCTTTTTGGTAATTATCTAGGCAAAGCAGTTATTTTGTGTAATCTAGTAATACTTGTATCATATCAATTAAATTTTTTCATTTACTACGCTATGTCAACTCAATTTAAAGAGACATTTCACAGTCTGTGCTTTGGCAAACTGTTTAAATTTTGTAAGATATGATGTGTTTTTCCATACAGCTTTACGAGATTCTACAAAATACATATCAAAAATTACAACAGAATATCTCACTGCTGCTTTTATTGAGTGTATGACTTTATATTAAATGATCTATGTGGATCGCGAAAATTAAAGTATTCCTTTACCTCGCTAAGCCAGTGTTAAGACTGGTAAAGAGGGGGAGGTTCGGCATGAGGCTAGCAACCTCATACCGTAACAATTAACACTAGTACTACCGAAACTTCAACATTTAGCTTGAAGCCCTAAGTTCGTCTGGAAACGTAAAGGAATAAAACAAAATGCTATGAGCTGTTTGTAATTATTACTGCTACTATTCCACACCCATATGGACATTACAGATAAGAGAATACGAAATTCAGCAAAGATATCTTTTCGGTAATTTCATTCTCAAAAGCTGTACAATTGTATTTATATAGATTATTTTACATGGATACAATTATTATTTGTTTAATTCCATATAGTAACGAAGGTGATAATAATTTTGAACTTGATATGAAAGTTTGAAGGTAAGAATATCGATTACAAGGGGCTTAGAGAGCTCGTTTTCAGCTCAAAGGTATCCAACCATAGAAATGCATTAGAGGAGCTCTCATCAGCGCACTGTCTCATCGCATTAGAAAAGTCTGCAGCAGCGATTACATGGAAAAGGAGCTCCTATTCCTCAAAAATATCGTGGCTCAAAATGGCTACCCGACACGTTTTGTCGAAAAGAACATGAAATCTAAACCAAAAACAGAAGAATGCGTTTTAGCGTCAAACAAAACGCTGTATCTAAATCTGAATTTCAAGGGAGATTTGGCAGCTGATATCCTGAAGAGGAGAATATCCAGCTCTTTAAGGAAGACCTTCCTTGCAGCAACACTAAGAGTGACATTCTCTAGCCGTCCAATACTTCGAAACAACAGAAAGGACAAACTCTCGCATATGACCAATTCAATGTGCATATACGAGTTCACCTGCTCGCTCGGAGCTAGGTACATAGGTCATTGTATGCGCGTTCTTTCAAAACGTGTTCGAGAACATTACCCAGCGTGGCTGCAAAGAGGAGGCACCGGTTCAATCAGAAGTGCCATTATTGAACATCTGATCAACACCTCCCACAAAATCGCAACTGATTCTTTCAAAGTGATTTACAAAGTTAACAGAAACCTACCCAGAGCAGTATGTTTCCGACTTCTTTGTACTGCAGAAGCCCACGTAATATGCACCGAGAAGCCGGAGTTGCGGGTTAAAAAGAAATTAGTCCAACCTCTACAACTACCATGGACCTAGCTTGGTATGTTCCCTTTACTTCCGTTTTTTTCTCTTCTTCGTCTTTTTTCGTCCTCGCTTTTCTTTTTGAGCGTTTTTTTCGTTCGTTGTGTGTCTGATCCTTAGTCCCTGAGTCTTCATTCGATTCACTTAATTTTTTCAGTTATAAAGACAGTTATTTTAAGTTTGTTTCCATGCTTTTCCTGTTCACATTTATAATTGAGAGATTTCAGTATCACTTCAGTGACCAGTTTTTTATATCAGGCTACTGAACTGTCAGAATGAAAGATATACAAAGCTGAACATATATTAATAATTGGAATTATTCTCCAGTCATATGGGAATGAAATGAATTGCATTAAATTACCAACTGCATATACGTTTTTAAAAAGTATACATGAACAATATCTGCGTCAGCCAAATCAAGTTTCTTATACGGTTGACAGTAATAACTGCTAGGTGAATAGACAAAGAGAAGCCCACTGGTGAAGTGTACTTTTGTATTTTAACAAGCGGATAGAGAGCAGAAGATTGTTATTGGTACCATAGAAGACTATTCATACTGAAAGTTTTTCGATTTGTAAAACATTTATTCACTTTATCTGCAATAAAATATTTTATCACTATTTCATAAAATGCAGACATCTTTTGAAGTCGAATGAACTGAGTATAGTTACCAAAAGTTATTTTCTTTCAATGTGTAAGAGCAATCTGGTTGATCCAGAGGGGAAATACCTTCCTTAAAATCTGCCTGATATTACTGTATTTAGCCAGGATATCCTCTGAATTCTTACATGTGACATAATCGTCAAGATAGCTTTCACTTTTGAGCAGATTATTTTGAATATAGGTGTTCGTAAAAGCTTTTCGAAAATGGCTGTAATCAGATAGATTTTAATTCTAGTTATCAATGGTGGCGTGCTTAAAACTTAAGCTACCACAAATCTCCATCATTCTGTTGTATATAATTTAATTTGTCCACTTTGTTTTAATCTATTAAAATATGATTTCTGATGGTATTATCCACTCCTGAGAGTATTTAAAATATTTGCAATCTAATGGTTCGCTAGTTTCTAGTAAACTTGAAAAAAAGGATAGTGGTGGGTGAGAACTTATCGCAACACATGTGTTATCTGTTTGTGAGGAATGTCTCCGGGTCTCGAAATGTACTCCTGAAGTTTCTGTAATTGGCTGTCAACAAACTCCCCTGCATTTGTTGAAGAATATAAGAAGATTTGTTGAAGAGAAGAGATGTCATTATGGATTAGTTTGCACCTTAGGTCAGAGAGCATCGTGTCACATGATCTATTGTCAATTAATATGGGGTGTTCACTGGCGACTTGTCCTATTCAGTTAGGAGTTACCTGGGGTGGGAAATCGTGATCAGTATGGTGCAGCCGGTCGGGTGTGAGGACAAATACATGTCAAAGATATTGGCTAGGGGTCGCGCTATGTCGTGAATTGGCAGAAGTTACAATTCATGCACTGACCATTGGATCGGGTCCCAGTGGCTTAATGGTATACGAGCTCGCCTTGTAACCAGGAGGTCTTGGGTCAGAACCTTGGCTGTGGGTGCGTACTGTGAAGAGTCCCAAACTGGGACGAAAGAGCTGTTCAGTACTCCCAGGTTTTCCAGTGGTTCTGTTACTGATGTCAGCTCATGATGAAATCCTGTAACCAATCAAATCCCTGCAAACCAACATTTGAATTAATATTTTATCTAGATATTCTAAATGTAGGGAAAATAATATGCGATAAATTTCCATGGGAATTCTGTACACCATATGAGTACTGTCCAGAATAAAGGTATTATTAGTAATATAAAACGGTAATTTCTGACTATTCTTCAATGAAATTGATTTTTCAAGGCAATAAACCCTCTACCGGATAAAAAATTTGACACACTTTGTGTACTATCGGATAAAAACCTTTCTAATAGCAATACTTACGATGCTGCTAACAAAAACTAACGAGGATTGTAATAACATGAACGTATCATACAATTTTTTTAATCATCCTTGTCTTATCAGAAAATATGATTGAAATACAGCTACCTTTAATCACATAACTTTTTAATATCACTTTTTATCATTCAAGTATCAAGCATTTAATTCATAAGTTAAGTCGGCTTACTGAAGAAAATAAAACTGTTAAAGCCTTTTCAGTATCAACAGGACAGTTATTCTATTTTGATAAAACAAACTAACTGTTTAACGTCATAAATAATAAGTTAAGTATGTCGTTTATTAGGTTGACCTTCGGTTCCTTTGGTGTCATGTACAGTAAGTTTATCAATTACAGGATGTGGTATACTAATATATAATGGGGCATTTCCATTACAATTTCAATAACAACTTCACTAAAATGATTCATTGATTTATTTTTAAAATTTTCAGCTTTTCAGTTCAGGCCATAAATTAATGTTAGAAAACTTCAATAAGCTAAAAGGTTGTACATTTTAACATCAGTGTACATTCACAAAATGAACATGTCGAAATCACCCACAAATTAGAATCGTTTCAAGTTTGACCGCGGGCTGATGCCAGTTAGGGAACAGCTGAAAATCAGGGAATATTGGACAGATGTTTCGTCCTGGCCTGAGACTCTTCATCTATACACATCTATGATCCCACCAGGGTTCGAATCTTGGAGTTTCCAGTAACAAGGTGAGGTCGTAGACCATTCAGCCCTTAGGACCCACTTAATGACCCAATTCATGATTTTATTGAGACCATCAACTAAAGTTATCGGCGAGTATCTTTCCTTACTCCCAACTGGACGGATCCCATTGTTCAAGACGTCTCACCAGAATTCCAGAAAAGTTCCGCGTAGAATCAGTCAATAACGAGCATTAGATTAATTTCGGAGAGTTAGCTGATGTGGACTTAAATTCGTTTCAAGTCTGGTCACGGATTGAAGTCACTGTAAAACAAAGACTGCTGGACAGTTGCTTCGTCTTAGTTAAGGACTCATTCGGACTTCATGGGTGCATACTATCAGTGGGCCCTAAACTAAGGTGAAGCAAGTATCCAGTACCTCCTGGTTTACACCAGTTCTCTAACTGATATCAGTCTACGGTTAAACTTGAAACAAATCAATTCCTTACGAACTAACTCTTGAAAACTTAGATTTGCTCAGTAGTACCCAAATGTACTCTTCCATGGTATGTAGGCACAGCTTATTAACTAGGCAAAGGTAGTGGCAAGATAATAGGAAAGATCATTTTGATTAAAAGCCAAAAGTAGTTCGTGCCCTACTGTTGTACTAATACAGTTTCTGATTGCATGGAAGTTGTGTAAATCTATTCTTCAGTATTATTTAATATGGTTAAGTAGCAATGCGTTAAGATTAGACCTGTGAGGTTACTGTTAATCATATCTACAAAAACGCACAACTTCACACATATATCTCAATGAGCTTATCTCATTATTTTTCTTTTTTTGATTCAACTATGACCTGACGGAACACCTGTCCAGTACTCCCCGGTTTTCCGATGTTTCTCTGACCGATGTCAGCTTATGATGAAAACCTGTAACCACCAATCAATCAAATCCTTACAAACCAATTCTTGAATAACAGCTTGATTGAAAACAGTGCATTTATGCACACACACACACACTCAGAATTTCTAGCAAGTTTAATTTCAAGGTATTTACTCCTTGTGCAGAATCTATAAGTAATACAATAAATGATAATATATCAACTGAAGCAGTGTCGTTCCAGCTGAAGCCACAATGTCCTTCCTTCATTTCCTTCCGGGAAATTTCTAGCAGTCGATAGAAACTTATTTAAAATTGTACGCGAGTAGAGATTGTGAGTCGCTGTGGCAATCCGATGATGGGAACGATACAAGATACAAGGCATTTTGATCGATAACAAATTTAGGCAGTCCTGTGATTTAAGCAGGCAACCATAAATCTGACCATCTTTTATTACTTCACAATGCAAAAACATTGTCTGAAAACATTTTTTTTAAGGTTCTTGTAAATCTATCAGTTCATGAATAAGGCAAAGAATTTCATTTTAAATGTGGATTAAGTTTTTCAATTGTTAGATTTGGACGGATTTCGTGAAGCTGCAGTGAAACGTCTTGACCAGTCGATGCTATCAAGTCAAGGTGAAGTGAATTTTCATCAAAGGCGTTGGTATAGGCAGCGCTATATGACGAGTTGACAGAGTTAAAATTCACGGGTCAATGAATTCCAGCCTAAGTGGTTGAAGTGTCAACAAACTTGATCTTGTAACCCGAATGGTTCTAGGTTCAACCCCTAGTGGGGTCATGCATGGGTGAGCACTGATGAGGAGTCGCAAAAACGGTACGAAACGGCTGTCTAGTGTTCTCCGCTTCTCGATGATCTGTCTAAATGATGCTGATTCCTGACGAAAATCTAACAACTGGAATTAATTCAATCCTGAAATTCGCATAGTCTGAAAAACAGTAACCATTGTAAAATAATAAGCTATAAGAGGAATTATGATCATGACCATGCAATGTGTACGCAATGTATTCACGTTGAGGTTGATATTTTGTTAGATTTAAGGAATATTTTTGATATTCAAGTATTGGTTTGCAAGGATTTTATTGGTATCCGGACTACATGGACCAGTGGATCGAGCCCCAGTGGCTTAGTGTTATACGAGCTTGCCTTGTGTCCAGAAGGTCCCGGGTTTGAACCTTGGCTGTGGGTGCGTGCGGATGAAGAATATCAAAGTAGGCCGATGAAACAAATGTTCAGTACTCGCAGGTTTCCCAATGGTCCTCTGACCCGTGTCTGTTCATAATGAAATCCTGAATACTTTTGAGTTAGATATATGTTTTTGATTTTGACATAATGTGCACCTAATAGTTTTCAGATAACTTTGTCGAGACTTGTCGTGTTTATATATACATATAAATATACACCCCCTGAAAATCAAATGCTTTCTGTTACTTCTTCATTTGTTAACAGCAGTAGAAAGTATTATTCTCAGATGAATATTTGTCTAGTTAAAATTGATCGGTGGGTATCCTCAATTGGTCCCAAATTTCATTTCTTTCGAATTTTAGAATTCATTAATTTTAGTTTCACGTGTGCACAAAAAAATTTGTGTGGAAGCATTGTGTTGAAAAATTCGAATTATCTAAGTGAATTTTCTAAAAAAAACTTGTTTATTAGACCTTTTACTTAGGGAAGATGAGACTTTATGGTGAAAACGAAGCCACTTCTTAGCAATTTATAGCTTCTTATATACCACCCATTCTACTTTATCCCACCGATTTATTCTTTAACTGTAATTCTTGTCATATTATGTAAAACTTTGGAGATTGTAAGCAGAACTAATGGTCTACCACTGTTGTCAACATACAGATGAAAGACAGTGCATGCGGTCACCTTAAGGTGACACCAAAGACTGCTTTTATTCACAACTTTCTCCACTAATTCACAGAGTAATAGACTAGAAGGGATTTTGTAATAATTTATTCCTATACATTATGGGTAAATTTTTGTTTTGATAAAGTCTCACAGTGTTATACAGTAATGTTTACTGATGACGTTTCGACCACAATTTATTGCTCATAATCATATCAAGGTATTCACACGACTTCCTAACTTCATTTATATAGTTCCATTATTTTTCACTTGATTTTCACTTGATTTGAATGGCAGTAGTAGGATTCTAAATAAAGCAGGAATTGGGGTGGCATTTAAACCTACAGACTCACTCAGGGACAAGCTGTGTAGATTAAAGGAC